AATGCTATATATATATATATATATATATATATATATATATATATATGGAATATTATTACAGTTCTGCAATGCAAGTGCTACAAAATGGCATTACGCTACCTGATAGTATTTAATAGCTTTGGTAAGAGGTTCCACATTGACGGTTTCATCCAGCAGGTCTTTGTACAAGAGGTCTATGAGGAAATCCAGGGATCGCTCATGAATGCTCATCTCAGAGTACAGAGAACCCACACGCTTGTACACGTCCACACTGCACTGACTCAGAGCACTGCACAAGAGAGATAAAGAGACATCTTAAAAAAACAACAAGCCATTTGAGCTGCTTTACCCAACTTACTGCTTCAACAGGAAATATGTCAACACAGAAAAATAATGCCATCCATTAACATATGTCATGAGGACTTAAATGCTCTTGAGGATGTTAGAAAGTGTGTGTAAGTTTAGGTAAACTTACTGTTCATATTTGTGCAGTGTTGCCTGTAGCAGTGTGAGAGAATAGATGAGTCCAGCAGCAAAGCTCAGCTGCTCTCCGACGGCTCCTCTCATGCCAGCCTTCTGAGAGCACGTCTCAGTCAACTCAAACTTCTCCTGGGCCTGTTTACTGATCAGCTCTGCCTGCAGCATACATACACAAACACATTCAACCAACACTCACAAAAAAGCACATAGCAGGTTGGAATGACCATGGTTTAGTGCTTAGCGCTCAAATGCATATTCAGAAATGTCACCTTGCAGACGAGTCGTGGGATGAGCAGTAGAGTCAGGATACAGTCATGGTCTCCTCCGTGTTTCAGGAAGGAGTCAGGCATGAAGGAAATCAGCAGTGACACCTGTCTGTTAGCCTGAGCTACCTCCATTTTACGAAGCTCCATTTCTATGGCCTAGAATTACAAACGCATACATTTTCTATGAAAGACACATATTGCCTTTTTTTTTACGAGCAGGAGGCACCCATCCCCTAACAACACAACAAACAATGACTAGTTCTTAAATATAAGTACTAGTCATTTGTTTTTGTTTTTTTGGTTTACAAAAAAGTTTGGGGTTGGTAAGATTTTTTTATGCTTTTGAAAGAATGTTTAATGCTTTTGATCCAAAATACAGTAAAAACATGTATATTGTGAAATACTGTTGCAATTTCAAACAATGGTTTTCCATTGTAAAATATTTTACAATGTCATTTATTCCTGCGATGGCAAAGCTGAATTTACAGCCATTACCCCAGTCATTTAGAAATGTTATTCTAATTCTGCTTCTTAATATTTTTGCATAAACTGTGAAACATTTTTCAGGATTCTTTGTTGAAAGTAAAGTAAAAAAACAACAACATCTATTTAGTAAAAAAAAAAACTAAGTAAAAAATTTAAAGAAAAAAACATTTACTTGAAGTAGAAATCTTTTGTAACATTGTATTAATTTCTTTAAAAAAATCTTGCAGTCCCCAAACATTTAAACGGTAATATATCTATATTTTATTGCTACTCAGCTAAATAGTGTCATATGAATAACCAGTCAGCTGTAAACCTCTGGCTCATTTTGAGTTCAACATAATATCCTGCAGTTCAGTGAAGAAATGAATCATCTGACAATTCAGTTCGTAATTCAAACCAATAACTCCTTTGTTCAATTCAAACTGATTCACCAATCATTGATTCATTAAAGAAATGAATGAAAACAAAAATCATGAATTAGTTTGTGAATCGGATCTGTTCAAACAAACACTGGACTACATAAACACCACGGTTTCATTGGATTTCACTGGATTCACCTTGGCGTAAGCTTTGGTTTCCACAAATTTGATCTTGAAATCGAAGATCTCTGCAGGCTGTTGCTGCTGCTCAGTGCTGGCTTCCTGTTGGCTCATCAGCTCCCTGTTCACCTCCTGCTCCACACACACACAAATGATGTGAAGTACGTGTCCCATATTATTTGTGAGGTCTGCATTTTAAGCCGTACTAATGTGTTGAGGTTGGTATGTTGTGAAGCACAGCAGCACCTGCAGGTGTGCGGTGAGCTCTCTGTATTTCTGGATGGTCTGCTGGTAGTCTGCCACTGTTTCTTGTGCTGCCTCCACTCGCTTCTCCACCTCCCTGATGCTGGCAGCACTCAGATCCAACTGCTCTCTCAACTCCAGCTCCGTCTCTCTGGCGTTCTCCTGCAGCTCATCATTCATCTCATTGATGGCTTCCTACGTCAGCACATGCACACAAACCTCAGTATACTGTTACATCATGGTATACACTTCTACACAAACTCTTCAAACACTCACCAGATCTGTGACAGTTTCTCGGAGCTCCCGTACTTTCTCCTCCAGGTCTAGATTACGATCCGTCAACATCTCCACCATCTCCTCCGCCCCGAGAGCAGCATCCACCTGACACACACAAGAACACACATAGTGATCATTAGCACACACCCTTAGCGCATTGACATATAGCTCCAAAAAGTATCATGGTATTACGCCGTTTTATTAGACATTAAACAATGACAATAATTTTATTTATTTTTTTATATCAAATTTAAATATATTATATTTTAATAATAATTAAACAATAATAACAATTAATTTCATTTTAAAATTTACGTTTAAAACATTTAATTTGAATCATTTTTCCTTTAAATGTGCAATGTAAAAAACACGGCATTGTTTGAAATAGTTTGAAGTACCGTAGTATTTTATGATTGATAGCATTTTATTATGATATTCATTCAGTACCATGGTACATATAGAAAAGTTCAGTGATATTATCATATGTTACCATAACTGTACCATGATTTCACCACAGTACTTTTTTGCAGGGGGAACTTACCCTGATCAAATGTTACTTCAGCTGTTTGAATTCATTTTAAACTACTAATGAATGTTACCAGATTGCCAGGTGTTGCAAAAATAATAATATAGTTATAATATAGATCATGCTATAATAATATATATTATATTATATTATCATAATATTCATATATAATATTATAATACTTATTATAAATTTATATAAAATATTATTATATCTCTTGAACTCAAAGAGATACAATAAACTCTCACTACATCTCTCAGTTTTAATAGTGGCACGACTCACTTGTTCTTTGAGCTCATCAATCGTTTTCTCAGACATCTTCATTTCCTCCTGTAGTTTCTCTTTCTGGCATCTCAGGGCATCCAGCTCAAAATTCTTCTCCTCCATTAGTTTCTGTTGCTTTGCATGCTCTTGTTTCTCTGATGCAGACAAGTCACGCATCCTAATGCACAGAGCAAATGATATTATGATCTTTACTGAGCACAATCAAATAACACTGATGTAAACCATGAGACTCATTACAGACTGACCTCACCAAAGCCTCCTTCAGTCGAGCATTCTGCTCCTCTAACTGCTTCACATGGTAACTAGATGCTGCTCCATCTGATCCTGCAGGCCAGTTTTTATAGATTAATAAGCACATATTGTGGTCACTGATGAATACTGAAACATATACAGTATGTACTGTACACCAACGTACAACATTTTAGAGTCAATTTGTTTTCTGGAAAGAAATTAATACTTTAAATCCTCAAGGACACATTCAATTTATCAAAAGTGACCATAAATACATTTATAATGTTACAACCGACTTCTGTTTCACATAAATGCTGAACTTTCTATTTATTCATTCTTTCTATATTGAGCTTTCTTAAAATGACACTGAAGACTGGAGACTGGCTGCTGAAAATTTAGCTTTGCCATCACACCTGCCCCCAAACTTCTGAACAGTAGCAAATGTTTAGGTGTGTTTGTACCTTTTTCCTCTATCTCATGTTTGAGTATCTCCAAGTCCATGGTCAGCTCCTCCACTCTCTCTTTTAGAGTATCAGCCTCCAGTTGCAGTGACTCGGCCCGCTCTTCAGCCATTTCCTTATCCAGTGTGGCCATCTCAATGGCATCTGCTGTATCTGCCATCTCTTCCATGTAGCGGTCTTTAGCTTCAAGAGCTTCCTTAGATTCCTACATAATAGAATACCAGCCACTTTCATTATCCACACTCTGACACATATCATGACACATTCCTCTGCAGTAAATGTATACTTGATACCCTCTTGGCCTCCTTGAGTTGTTTCTGCAGTTCATTTTGTTGTTCCTGCATCTTACTCTTCCACTCCTGCAGCTGCTCCAGCTGAATCTTGTGCTTCTCAAGCTCCTTCAGCTTTGCCTTGTCCTCTGTCCTCTTCATCTTCAGCGTCTCCAGCTTCTCCTCCAGATCCTTCACCTGGGCACGCAGTGACTCCTCTTCCTGCAAGAGAGTGAATGCATGCATGCAGAGTGCAGTCGCTGTACGAGACTCAAGAAGACCTCTCACATTTACATGAATGTCAGAGAAAAGTCATGTTGTGGTTTTTGTTGCTCAATTGTTCAGAACCTAATCTAAATGATTTGGGTGTTCCTTCAACTACTTGCACTTTTGGCCCTGTGGACTTTTAGAAAACAAAAGTCACCAACATTTTTCACTCTTACTAGTAACTAATATATTCCATTTGTCTACAATCAATGTGAACATACATACTGTACATCACAAGTGATTTTTTATTAATTTCCATCACATCTCAAGTATATATTGGGTTTAATAGCATTTGAAGATGATGAAAACAATAAAAAATGTAATAGCCAACTTTTTATGTATCCTAGATTCACACAATTAATATTTTCACTTTTTCATAATTTGGTAAAATTACAGCTTTATTGGAAATGAGATACAATAAAAATATTCTGTTCACAAGTCATATTTAGTTTTACCATTATTTCAAATCATTTTGAACAGTGTAATAGTTTATATTTTTATGATTGACTTTCATATTTTTAGGATTGAAATCTGGGCCTGGGACAAGGGTAAATAATAATAATAATAACTGAAAAAATAAATTGGCTAATAAAAATCAACCCCTGGGTCATACACTACCGTTCAAATGTTTTTTGTTTTGTTTTTTAAAGAAATTAACAATTTCCTTCAGTAAAGATCCATTAAATTGATCAAAAGTGACAGTAAAGTCATTTATAAGGTAAAAATAATAATAATGCTGTTCTTTGGAACTTTCTATTTAACAAAGTATCCTTCAAAGACTGCTGACGGTTTCACTGGAATCACAGTTTCTGCATTACATATTTTTATTATATATATATATATGTTGTTTTATTTTGATCTTATATATTATAAAATGATATAACTGTTTTCAACATTAATAATAACAAGAAATGTTTTACGCAGCAAATCAGCATATTAGAATGATTTCTGAAGGATCATGTGACACTAAAGACTGGCGTAATGATGCTGAAAATACAGCTTTGCCATCACAGGAATAAATTGTATTTTAAAACATACTAAAATAGAAACAATAAATAAAATGCATTCAAATAAAACCTATTTTACATTTAGATGGTATTTCACAATATTATTGTGTTTACTGTACTTTTGATCAAATAAAAGCAGACTTGGTGAGCATAAATAACTTCTTTCAAAAACATAAAAAAAATCTTACCAACCCTAAACCTTTGAATGGTACTGTAAATGCACCCAAAGTTAAAGAAAAACCCATTTATGATACAGGTAAACAGGTCAATAGTTTTTCATAACATCTGTAACCTTGACGACCTAAAAACAGACATTTTCACAGTGCAATTGATGCAAAAGTGAATACTGTGTAACATTCTAGCTTAAAAATAAACAGAACAAAAGTAGTGGTTATATTTGTGTCTGTAAACATGTGTGACTTTAAGCATCTGACCTTGCTGGGTCCCGGGATGGGAGGAGCCCCAGGCGAAGGCAGTGTTCCCACAGGCGAAGGTATAACTGGAGCAGCCAGTGGTGTTTGGGCAGGTGTGCTGGGTTCACTGCTGCTCATCTCTCCAGCAGAAGCTGATCCTGAGCCCACCTTCATCCCCACTCCAGCCCGCGTTTGCTGAAAGACACATGCAGAGATCACTAAAGCTCCACTGATATCAAAAACTCTCAAATGAATCACGTCAACCACAAACTTTCTTTGAGATTATTTAGCAAACACAAGCGCACACAGATGTGACATGCAGGATTGAGCTCACCTTGGGCCTTCTGGTGTTGGTCTGAGGAGAAGACAAACGTACACAGATATATAACCACCACGGGTCAGAAGACAGATGAAGAACAGAGAATCAAGGAAAAAACGGAAGAAAGCACATATATAGTAAAGATTAGTAACAGAAAAAAGCCACATGCGTTAAATGAGAACTCCAAAAGCATCTGTGTGAACCTCTATAAACCACCTTCACCATTTTTTTCCATCACATGATGATAAGCTCTGCTTGTGTGTTTAACATCAAAAATGTTCTTTTAGCACATAAAAAGTCAAACACTAACCCTCTCTATGGCACTATCTGTCTGCCTGCAAAGCAGAGTGCCTGGCACCAACTGGGTCAAACAAGTACACTCGTTTACATACAAGCATGCACACATACACACACAGATGGTCAGCATATGTTTTATTTTTGTAGAGATCATGTAATTGTTATAAACCTGTTGTACATACATTTTATGGCAAGCACATACACATAATTGTAAAATATTCTGAATCTATACGTCAGTTACAAGTTTGGGGTCAGTAAGATTTTTTAATGTTTTTAAAAGAAGTTTTTTATGCTCACCAAGGCTGCATTTACTTTTTGATAAACACAGTAAAAACAGTTATATTATGAAATATTATTACATTTTAATTTAATTTAATTTATTTTTAATGTAATTTATTCATGTTATGCAAAGGTGAATTTTCAGCATCATTACTTCAGTCTTCAATGTCACATGATACTTCAGAAATATAATATGCTGATTTGCAGCTGAAGAAACAGTTTTTCTATTATTATTATCAATGTTGAAAACAGTTGCTGCTTAATATTTTGGTGGAAACGATGATGCATTTTTTTCAGGATTCTTTGATTAATAGAGAGTTCAAATGGACAGTATTTATTTGAAATAATTTTTATAAAGTGTCATGTCTTTACTGTTACTTTTAGTAAATTTAGTGTGCCTTTGCTGAATCAAAGTATTAATTTCTTTCAAAAAAAAAAAAATCTTGAAAAATCTAATTTGAATGAATGAACGGTAGCGTATATACATACAGTGGCCCTAAAAGTCAAACTTATGAATTTCATTCCATTGGAAAAAAGAAAAATCTAAGTAAGTGGCATCTGTTTTTTTCACAAATAATTTTCACATAGTGTCCTATCAGAGTAACTGCATGTGTAGTGCATTACTTCAACTATGAATATGATCCACTAACCAGAAAGTGTCCAAATAATTATAATTTTGTACAATATGCCTATTGTTTTATCATATGAATTCAGAACAAACTTCTTTTTATGAATTATTTTGCTTGTTAATTATGTTTGAGCTTTATTAATTTAAAATAAATTCCACGTTTTGATATTCTGTATTAAAATACAAAAACATTCCAACATTTTTATGTTAAATACTTCTTGTGGTCACTGTACATCATCAGATCATTTTAGTTAGTCATCTATCAAGAGAACAAAATGTACTAATCACTCAGACAACTGACTTAAAATGAACCTTTTAGCAATTAATAAAACACTAACAACAAGAAACAACCTATTACATGCACTGACATACCAACAACCAGTAAAGAACAAAAAGAAAATGATCTCCAAAAATCACACAAACACCCTAGTTAGACAATAAACAACTGAGCATTTTGCATGCCACAGAAGTAGTAAACAATCTTTTGTACCTTACGAGTCGTAGGTGCCTGTCTCATCATTTTGACGATTGAAGAGGAAAGACACAAACAGGTGCACACACACACACACACACACGCACCAGGTGCAGAAAAAGAGCAGGAAGAAGGATTGAGTCACATTAACAGCAGATCGAGATGAGAGCAGGCCAAGCCCACAGCAAAGCCACAAACACACTCATACAGCAGTTGGCAAGTGCTAGCCAGACACACACACACACACAGCGACGATGTTGCAGGTCGTCTCTGCTGCAGCTGAAATGACGCTCCTTTCTTGTACTACAGTGATTAAATCCTTTTTCTTCAACAGGAACCGAACCGAGCCCCTTTCCAAACACTTCTCTGATTATAACGCTGTCCTTTAGGCTCTGCTAAACAGTAGCCGCCTCTCTCTGTCTGCATCCATCTCTGGCTCTCCTGCTCTTTCCACTCATAAGCTCTCAGTGCTGCTCTGCTGTGCCAACTGCTGCCTAGCAAGCACATTACATCACTGCATCCACCCCTCCCTCCAGACAGAGAGACGGAGAGAGAGACAGGCTGGAACAAAGGCGGAAAGAGGGAGAGAGGGAGGGACTGATGGGAGTCTGGCCTGTATCCTAGCAACACTCCATAAGTATCTCTATGGGCTCTCCAGTCAGGAACACGTCTGTGTTTGAGTGCAGGCCGAGCATTTTTAAGCAACTTATAGTTTAAACTTATGATATATCTAGACACAAATTTAACTCATGCGTGTATGTACACCCAAAAACATTGTCAGTTAATGTTAGTTAACATAGTTAACTGTTAGTTAACGTTAGTTAACTAACAGTTAATGTTAGTTAACATTAACTAATGGGACCTTAGTCCTAGTGTTACCCCTAATTCTTTATAAAGCATTTTAAGAAATGTGTTTCTGTATATTTTAAATGCATTACTGCGGTTTGTAAAAGCAGGCGCATCGTTATTTGAGGATCCATTACAGCACAGAGTGGGGAGGGATGGAGACAGATTGATATATCACATTACAGCTCTGCAAGAGAGAAAAGTGATGTGTAGAAAACAGAGAGAGGGATGAGCAAACGTGAAAAATAATCCTGGACCTTCACTGTTTCTATACGAGTCTTAATTTGTCATATCAGTGGCCTGCATTTATATTATTAGTGACTTTGTACTTAGAACTAATTAACAGTTAACATTTCATATTTCATACAATCATGTAATTGTCATAAAGTTTTGAATGAGACATAAACTATTTTTCATACTGTTTTTCATTTGTTTAATCACTGTACTTGCGATACATTTTAAAAAATAGCATTATATTTAAAAACTTTAACATGATAGATAGATAGATAGATAGATAGATAATGTTAAACTTTTTAAATACGCTATTTTTTAAATGTAATACTAACATTTAAAAAAAAATAATGCTATTATATAAAAAAAAATTAAAGCCACCAAACTTTTTACAAATATAATGATATTGTTTAGGAAAAATATATGATGGAAATATGACACGAAAAATATATGATGCAAAAAAATTATTTAGGGCTTTAGTAGTACAACAACTTGTCTCTGGTTAACTTTGTAACTTACAACTTTGTACCTTATCTACCCCCAATAGATACATATTAGTACTTTAGAGTAGTAATATACCCTCAGGGTGCTACTATGAACTTTGTAGTGGTAAAAAAGGTTTAGTTCTTTCTGAGAGTCGAGGGTGCACTGCACCAGTGACAAGACAATAGACATTGTACCCCTTAAAGGTAAAATGTTTTCAAATTTTTTATGTTGTTTTATTTATAATTTTGGATTGTGATTTCAACACAATGGATCCACCATGGATTAATCCATGGGTTAAGATTAATTAACTTGTACTAATGTATTAAAATTTGTAAAAAGCAGCTAGTAAAAGCTTAACGCACTGTGATGGCGTAAACAAACCCATTGACCAATCTTTGTTTCTATTATCAAATTCATGCTAAATTTATTTATGTTACCACTGTTTTCTGATGTGAAAGGAATCAAAGTTTTAAGACAGTTAAACACAGGTCTTCTTCTCCATTAATGCCCATTTATACTTTCAACCTCAGGGCAAGAGCTCCAAACAATTCATACTGACAGCCTGAACTAGATAACCTCCTAAATAGCATTACCCCAAGCACTGACATTTAGAAGAAAATGCTGGGATGCGCACACACAGCTTTCAAGTCCAATATTTCAGTGGTGATCTAATGACAAGACATCTAATGCCAAGCCAGGCTGCAGTACCAGGTTTGTCTCAGGGGGAAAGAAACGCTCAGTCTTTCATCAAACATAGTCTTATGTCATAGCCCCACACAAACTTGTACAGGATGTGTACAGGATTTTTTCCCCCCGCAAATTTACCATAATTTAGTGATGTAAAAATACTGCATCATCATTCATATTCTTATACACAGTCTTACATTTTTAAACATTTTACATCATATTTATTTGCCTTCAAAATTCTAAAACTTTGTTTATTTCTAGGTGTAAATTACATTTTGAAGCTCAGATTGACTATGTGGTCTCAGCCTTTTTTTTAAATTAATTGTATATCCATAGAAAATACTAGTGTTAATATTTGTTTTGAAATGTATATAAGTGAGGATGAACAAAGATAAATATGTAGTGATTCAAATTGACTTTCATATCTATCTTTACCTCCAATTTATCAGATAAATGACTATGATCCATGTACATGTGCAGCCTTCACATAAAGAAAGAAATGTGCATTAAAACCTTTAAGAATTTATAAAATAATGCATATTAATTAAAATCACACTGACTACAACTAATTTTTAAAACGTTTTTCAAGGAATCTGCAATCTCAGTAACAAAGTAATGGGGAACACCAAACTTGAACAGACTAAAAGCACTATATACTGTAAAATATTAAGTCAAATCTCTTTCACTCACACGTTCACTAGGACTGTCTCATACACATAAACACGTCATAATCAGCATGCTAATTCATAATATCCATTTAAAAGCAGTCATTCATCAAAGAACACTGTCATCCAGCTGGCAAAGCACTAGCACACATGAATAATTGTACATAAAATTAACAGAAACAATATAGAAACAAACACTCCTGATGCACACACACACACACACACAGGTAATGTGCAGTTTGTGTGATGCCATGCAGCAGAGCTGTTCAATATTGCCATTGCTAT